TCCCAGGGTCCTGGGATCGAGCCCTGCATCGGGCTCTCCGTTCTGCAGGGAGCCTGCTTCCTCCTCTCTCTCTGCCTGCCTCTCTGCCTACTTGTGATCTCTGTCAAATAAATAAAATCTTTTAAAAAAAAAATACATTTTAGTTTAGAATAATTTTTAGTCACTAACTCGAAAAACCTAAAAGCCATAAAGGAAATGATGATGCACGATTAACAACTAAACCAAAAAATCTGTTCTGAAGTTAAAATTTTCTAAATTGCCACAAATCCTGAAAAAGTGCTGTCACACAGGGCTCAGCAGAAACGATCAAACCAGACAGAAAAAGATCACCACGTCCGCTTTCATGGCAGAGATGTAAAAGAGAAAAACCTTCTACAACCTCTGACCCCACTTCATGCAACCGCAACAGTCAACCAGAGCCCTGGTCACACTGTGGCGGCGTCAGCACCGCGTGTGGCCCTGTACTTCTGGTAACAGTAAGGTTTAAAAAACAAACTAAGAAAAACCTAAAACTCAAAAACCAACCAAACAAAAAACCAGAGTTTATACCTTCAAAACATTTAAAATTCAGCTTTATTCACTGCCCTGTGTTCCTGGAGCATTTGCGTGTGTGCGCACGCACGCACGCACGCACACACACACACACACACACACACACACTCTCTCTCTCTCTCTCTCTCTCTCTCTCTCTCTCCCGGCTCAAGCCCCGACCGGGATGCAGGCCACCCCCCTCCCTGCCATGCTCGCAGCCCCTTCCTGCAAGCACTGGGCTCTCGGTCCTAACTGAGCTGCTCTATAATACACACGTGTCTCCAAAAACTTATTAGGCTAAAAAAAATTACTTTAGGCCCTTGGAATGGTGTGCCCAGTGAACTGTGCTGTTACTCTTTAAATCTTTCAATGTTACGTCTATTTTCACAGGGAAACTTTGCCTAGACTTCAAAGGCAATCTCTCCGTATCATCACCATACAGCTGTGGTCTTAATGAAGATGACCAAGGACTGACATTTCTTTGCAAGAAAACAGGAATGAGAGCCTGGTACCTCCTCTCGCGAAGACAGGATTCTGCTCCATTTCCCAACCAGGGATCCACCCAGAGCTGAAAACGCCTTCGGTTATCTAGATCTTCATTCTCCCTGTTGGCAGGCGTCCACGCTCCTCACCCAAACGCTCCAGAACCACTCGCAGTGATGAGCTCATAGGCCGTCATCCGAGAGCCGAGGACTCTGACGCGCCTGCGAGCTCCAAGTGTCCTGCCTTTCTTCCTTCCGCTCCCGGTCCTGGAATTGCATTTCTAAGTCCTGGGCTGTCTCCACACCTTGCTCAGGCATCCACTGACTCACTCAAACACAGTTACTAAGTACCGGGGTCCCGTCAATAAGCAGACAACTAGAACAGCCTTTGCCCATGATGGGGCTGTGATCTCGTGGACAAGACGGTTTCTAAATTGATCACATCCATCTAAAGATAACAGAAGGATGCACAGTGGGCTAGAATACTCTGGGGAAGGAGTCTGGAGTAGTCGGGAAGGCTTCTAGGTGGTGGTGATATCTGAATCTGGTCTGAAGACCAGGTAAGAACTTTCCAGAAACAGGGCAGTCAGACAAGTTCCACTTTCTCCACCTTCCAAGTGCTTCTCCATCTGTACCCAAGGGAACCCCTCTACACCGGCGCTGAAGGAGAACACTGCCTAGGGGGCAATAATGCCCCAGTTGCAATCGTTTCAAGGGCGACAGTAACACATCTGTTTACTTTCTGAATTTCTTTCCTCAGATCTGTGAAAGCGGCAGGTAAAAGGCCCTGTAAGGCTGTCATAGATCATATCTGAGGCATGTGAAGGATTTAATGCCGTGAAGCCATTCTGAATACTTACTAAGGAGAGTCCTGTCCCCTCCTTGCTGTGTGTGACCCCGGCCAAGCTGCCATACCTGCTGCATCTCCTGGTCCCTCTCCCTGATCTCTGCCACCTCGGCTGCGACTCTCACTTCACTCAGCTACTGGCCCCCACGTTACCTGCTCAGAGATACTTTCCTTGACCACAATTCTATGATCTCTTAAAAAGTGTTATTTATTTACATAGTCTCTACTCCCAGGGGGGGCCGGAACTCATGACCCCAAGATCTAGAGTCGCACACTCCACCAACTGAGGCGGCCAGGCGCCCCCTGACTATAGTTTTCAAAAGCCTCCCCCCTTGCTGCTCTCGGTTCACCTGCTACGTTTTAATCCAGTGTCTCTGGTCTGTCTCCTCCACAGAATGCCAACTGCGTAACAGCAGGGACGTGGCCTTGCTCTCGCCGTCATACCCCGCACTCAGCACGGTGCCTGCACGCGGCCAGCGCACGGCACTTGCTGACTGAACTCATGCAAAGTGGAGAGTGTCGAACTGCACTAACACCCATCTCGCAGGGCTCGCGAGGGGCTCCACGAGACGCGGCGAGACAGAGAAGCACGCGCTGGCGGCCGGCATGTCACGGGACCGCAGCTCCACCTGGGAGCCAGGACAAAGAGAGTGGGCTCGCTGCAGGGGAAGCAGACCCCAGTCTGCAGGCCCGGGGCAGCGGGTTCTCTCCCTCGGGGGCCAGAGCCACCCCCACGTGGTACAGGTCTCCACGCTGCCCGGTAAAGAAAACCCCCGGGGTTAGAAACAGTGCCGGCTTTCTGGGTATCAGTGTAACAGCTTCCGGGTTAGTGTGAGGCAGACTCCGGGTGGGCTGGATGTTAGGTTTTACGGTCTCTGTGGGGACATAAATACCCACACCTGTCAGCCCAGTTCACTGAAGGGAGTAGGCAGTGGTGGGATGACTGGGGTGCGGAGCACTCCAGAGCCACTGGCGTGGTCGCTAAAGGCCCCCTGAACCCCAAGTGCTCTCCTTCGCCTGCAGTGGTAAATGACCACAGTGACAAGCACGTTAGAGCGTCACTGCAAGAATGGGAAGACAGTGACACGGGTCCCGGCCAATGGGACAGCTCAAGCAAGCTCACCGACTGCTGTGAGAGGGTGGGTGGAAGAGGCTGGAAAACAATGTGTGTGTTGGTAGGGGGCAGCTCTGAGGGCTAAGTTCAGGGACCTAAACTTTGTCCAACTGTAAATTCGAACTGCAAGTCTCTGACCAGACAGCTGCCTATTTAAATTATATACACAGGATGGCAATGCGATTAATTAACCTGGAGAAGGGACTGCGGTCAGACCTGTGGCTATGGGGATAGCTAGGGACAATGAAGGCAGGACGGGAAAGGGTGGGTGGCAGAGAGAGGTAAAACCCAGATGTTCGAGGATGTCAGTTGCTAAAAACTCTGAAGTTCAAAGCCTGAAGCAGGGAGGACACGGATTAAAGGGGTCCAGGAGAACAGAAGGAACCGATGTGAAGGGTTTCTGAAGACCTCATCTGAGCCACAGTCCCGACACACCCAACAGGGCACCCCTGCTCTCGCTTCAGCATGGGCTGGGGAGCACACTGGCCCCCATGGGGCTGGTGCACCTGCTCGTGGCCCACAGCATGACGGCGTGGAGCTCTGAGAGCTGCACAGCTGGCCCCGATCTCACCTGTTCTACATGGCACACTGTGGGTCATCCCAGGGCGCCGGCCATCCTCTCCGCCGGACCCAGGCCTGCTCAGGGAGTGAATCCTCTGCCACGCTCACCACTTTAGCACAGGGCAGCTTCTGTCTGTCCAGATGGATCACAAACTCCTTGAGGGCCTGGTTAAGCCTGCCCCATGGTGCCCCAGCCCCACCACTGGGTTTGGAGCGCACACCCATGAAGGCAGCATGCCAGCACAAAGGACTATTCTTCCAGAACGTGCTGGCAAGCCCACAGCCCACCAGACATCTGACACCGGCCAGGGCCCCAGCTCGAGTACCCAGAATGCTCTCCAGCTCGTCAGGGAGTGACCGCAGAGCTCTGGCACGTCTGTCCCACAGCTCATCACTAGAGTCTTTGCCAAGTGTATAGAGCTGGGCATGAACACTTCTTGAGAGAGTGTTGTGGGGTGTTCGTGCACAGTAAAAAATAAGCAATTACATTTGGATGCTGGAACACTAGGGAGGAATACAGTCATCGACCTGGCAGAAGCATAAAACTAAATTTCAGAACAAATTAACTCAAGGGAAATCAAAAGAATAGGAATTAGGTTTCTTCTGAGTCACATTATCAGACACGAGTTATTAGGAAGCTGCTGTTGTAGAAACGTAGCACAGAGCTCAGACCGGACTGTAGATGTGCGCGTGTGCGTGTGTGTACACGAACGTGCACACGCATGCGTGTCTGCGTGTTGTGTTCACGTGTGCACACACGTGTGTCTGCATGTTGTGTTCACGTGTGCACACACATGCGTGTCTGCGTGGACGTATAAAAGACACCAAACTTGGGTCCACAGAAGATGCTTCCCGTTCCCGCTTTCCTCATTTCCCACATTATTCAATGGGGAAATGGCATATATTTTTTGAAAACATACGAAGGAAAGCACACCATACTCATGACCCCAGCAAAAAATAGTTAACATACTGCCTGTGCCAGTATCTTAACTATATCTCTTAAAAAAGCAATATTCAAACACGACTTGATGTTAACTGTGAAAAACAGAAACCACTGAAAAACATTTCGCATTTCTTGAACTCAGAACAACAATAAATACACCAAGTACACACTGTTACATTCTAGGTTGCAAAGATACATTATAGCGGCAGGCTCCAGAGTGAGAGCGTTCGCTCTGAACAGGATCAACACGGCATCACAACTGAAGCGAAACTCGCAATTCTATACGGTCTGGGAAGAAATCCAGTATTACACATACACGTCTTCTCTAGGGAAAACCTGCAAACCACATTTAAACCTGTTTAATGACGTTAAAATTCGGGAGCTTTGGGTCATCAGACTGCTTAGCTTTCTAAGCTATTCTAGAAAGAGCCATCACAACCAAGAGCCCCCTCCGGCTACAGCACTGTGAACGTTTCCGAGGGGCAGCTGGCCGGCTGGGGCTTCCCAGGGGGGCCTTCTCACCTGACACGGAGACCGCATGTGTCCGCACGCCTTGCTTCTCGCTGTTGGCCGGCCTGAAACAGAGAGGAGCAAAGCCATGAGCGCCTAGAGTCGGGACCACGCCGTTTCTCATGGAGACCACCCACTTCCGAGGATCATTTTTAAGATGAAGGGCTACTACCCGAGGCACTTAAAATAACCAGACCACGCTACTGTTCTATAAGTCAGAAATCATGAGAGGCAACTGGAGGAACGCTGAGCAGCTCCGAGAAAGCCACTGATGCCAGCACTTTCCGCCCTACACCGCCACTCCGCGCCACTGGGTATGTGGGTCCGGTCAAGCTTTACACTGCGATGAGAGACTGCAGGGGACTGGCCCGCGCTTACGAAGCAGAGGGAAGAGACACCCAGAGCTGGAATCACACTCTAAAACGTAATGTGAGACACTGGAGGGTCCCTGGTCCTTTTTCAGTTCATAGCATGCAAAGGGCAGGCAGGACACTGATACTTGTTCTCATTATTTACAGACCGAAAACAAGTGAGCCTCGTGTATCTGGTTACTTGTTTCATTCAGTGGCCCCACAACAAGTGTGTTCTACATATTCACCACTTAAAGTAAAATTTCAGCCAAAAGTCTTAGCGACATTTATAATACATTACTGTAGTTCCGTTTTAAACTTTTGGAAAGCACAAAACACAGAGAAAGTAAAGGAACCCCAGACTCTTGAGATACCAGAGCGAGCAGCATCTGACATCTTCATAGAAGACTCCTTCCAGATCCTTAAGCGTGCACTACAGAAACGCCGAACAGAAAATGGTTCTAGCACATAGAATGGACCCTGGGAAATAGGGGACCTGAGAACAGACCCCTCGAGAGCAGGAACATCCCGTACGTGGTCATGGGGCCTCTGTGGTCAGGCATCTCAGCACAGAGCCACGGGACCCGGCTCCTTTTACAGAGTTCCCTGCGTATCCGCGATCTCACGATCTCTGAGGCTGAACCAGAGCTGCGGCGGGACACGTCAGCAGCTCCAGCTCCACGGCCACTACCAGAGCCCCGCAACTCCCCGAACCGGGCAGTCCGGGTGCGCGCTCCCAAGAGCAGGCAGGGCCGGCCGCGGTCTCCGGGGACAGCGGCCACTCAGCCTGCCAGCACCGCCTGCCACCAACGGCCACCACAGCATCTGCTGCTCTATGATTTGTGGCCCAGTCGCCCTTTCAAAGTTTGCTTCTTTAGTCAGGGTTTCTAGCGTCTGTTGCCACTTCTGACCTACTACACTCTCCAACCACTTCTGTACCTGGGTTTATGATTCTGCATGTTTTAATCCCCAAAGTCATCTCTCACAGATTTTCTGCAGTTGAAGATATGCTGGGCTTAAGTTTCTGGCCTAACGTGGGACACGAAAGAATATCTATTTAACATTACCGAGTTTGGGAAACACGCTGCCTGAGAGCGGAAAGCGAGCTGCTTTGGCCCATCCCTCCCCCGCCCACACAGCTATGGGGCCGCCCTCACACACCAGACACTCCCCAGTCAGGTCTGTGATGCCACACGACCCTGGCTGACCACGGGGCCCCAGGGGCATGGATGAGCAAAAAGGCAGTTCTACAAGTGTGCTAAGTCCTCCGGCAGGGTGTTATGGGGAAGCACACGGGTGTGCCCTCCAGGACTGGACGATCATGGGAGGTTTCTAGAGCCTGGAAAGCAGAGCAGGGCCAGGTGAGGTTACAGACACTGGAGCCGAGAGGCCTGGGAGCGAAGAGCCTGGCAGCACAGAAAAGGGGCGTTTACTCTGGCAACTAAAGGAAGTTCAGCAGAGCCAGGAGGGGCAGGAGTGCTGGTGAAGCAAGTCCGGAGGGGCCGGGGGGGGGCCAGAGGTCGGGTCCCCCCGCAGGCCCAAGGACGCTGGCCTGTACCTACAGAGCTCCAGCAACGCCTGCAGGAGTCGCGAGACCGTTCCGGGCCCGGAGCACTCGGCACTGGGCCGTGATGCTTACTTACCCAGGTGTCCGCACTGCCCAAGTTTAACTCTCATTTGGTGCCCGGTCCCTCGCACACTGGCTGACCCCAGAGAAGTTACTAAATAAGTTCTTCCGGCATCACTGCTCAATTCTTTTTAATCTTATAGATCAACACATCTACTACGAAATTTATGATACAAACAACTTAAGAAATGAACTTAAATTACTTGTTTACTTTTCTCACTTGTAAAATGGCCAGAATGGCACCAGTTCTCAGGTTCTTTCAAAGGTGAATGCTGGGGACGCCTGGGTGGCTCAGCTGGTTAAGCAGCTGCCTTCGGCTCAGGTCATGATCCCAGCTTCCTGGGATCGAGTCCCGCATCGGGCTCCTTGCTCGGCAGGGAGCCTGCTTCTCCCTCTGCCTCTGCCTGCCACTCTGTCTGCCTGTGCTCGCTCTCTCTCCCTCTCTCTCTGACAAATAAAAAAAAAAAGGTGAATGCTGAGTATAAACCATCAACAGGCCTCCCTGGTACTGTCACTGGGACGGTCCTCTGGCCACCCAATGAACTTAAGGTATGGGGAAAGTCATCTTACACTTCTGGTTAACCCTAAATACATAACACGATTTACAACTGATTTGACTTCTTCCTGGAAACACTTGTTTTCTACCTCCCTAGTCATACACAGAGAAATCTGGTGATTCAGGCAAACAGGAAATAAAGCACGATGACTGCTTGACAGTTTCCAACACAACTAAGTAACAAAATGCACAAGGCAGCACTTACTTTGGTATCGATGGCAAAGCCCGCTCACCTTCTGGAGAAAGAGAGAGAGAGAGAGAAAAGTGAGGTTCCCATTTCTTTTGAAAAGATTATGTGTAGCAATCAGAGAACAAGTAAGTCTTAGTTGAGAATTTATGAATAACGTTTTCATAAGGAAATTATACCACATATCTTAGGCTCCGCGGGTCATTTTCAGTGTTTACAATGCACGTGAACTGACCAGAGGCGCACACTGTGTGGACGGTACTGCCCAATCACAGCGCAGCCCTGAGGGGCTAGGTGGTGGAGACGTACCTCCCAGGAGATCCTGTAAGATGAAGGACCTCTTCTGGTCAAAGTCAACATTCCTTTACAGCAAAGGACCGGCCATTTGTCCTTTGATAACAACGCTCAGTAGGAGCAACCCTGAGACCCGTCTAGGGAAGCACGAATACGAGGAAAACAAATCCCCGGGATGGAGGCAGAGGGACAGAGGCACTGAGCCACGTGGGAAGCAAGCCCGCCTGCAGCACGTGACCCGGGGAGGGGGTTACCTCCCACCCGTCACGGGGCTAGACTCCCGGCAGGGGCTCTTGCTGCTCTCACCCCAGAGAAGCACAGGACTCTGTCTGGTGGTTGACGGAGGCATGCTCTCCCCACCCTCCTTCCAGAAGCAGGAAGCACAGAGCCCCCAGGTCAGTATCTTCAATCCGTATAAATCTCACAGGCACCTAACTAATCCCCTCCTCTACTCCATCCCCGAGCTAAATTACTACCAGGACAATCTTCCCCTGATACAAACCCATCAAGTCATTCCCTTAGTTAAAATTGTCATGTCTCTCATTGGCTTTAAGATTTTATGTTTAAGTAGTGTCTACACTTAATGCAGGACTTGAACTCAGAACCCTGAGGTTGAGCGTCGCATGCTCTGCTGCCTTGAGCCAGACAGACGCCCCCTCGACGGCTTGTGAGAAGAAATGTAAGCGCATCTGCGTGACCCACAAAGCACTGCTTCCTTCTGCTGGTACAGGACAGCAGCCCGCCTCCGTCTTCAGGTGCTGCCACCCTGCCACCCACCTCTCTGATGCCTGCCCAGGCAGCCGTTAGCGTCACCCAGTGCCGTCACGATCGCTGTCTGTAGGTCTGCTCCTTGCACTCGCCCTAGAACTCAGGGCCAAGAGCTCTCCGCCCCCAGAAGTCACCTTTGTCCTGTCTCCCCAGTCTTGTTCTGCACTGTCCCCTGGTCCCCGGTGACTGCATTCCGTACTTCCCCGAACACACCATGCTGCCTGCACATTCCAACCCTCAAGAGAAGCTCTTCCTTCCTGTAGAAAGACCATCCCCCCGTTTCTCCAAGCTCAGCTCAGTGGGGGATGGACTAGAGGGGCAGTGGGGATTAGGGAGAGCACTTGTTATGACGAGCACTGGGTGTTTTATGTAAGAGACGATTCACTGAATTCTATTCCGGAAACCAATATTGCACTGTATGTTAACTAAAATTAAAATAAATAAATAAATAAATAAATAAATAAATGACATATTTTAAAAAAGGGGGGGGGCAAGCTCCATTCGAGCACAGCATGAGCTCCGGGGAGCCCTTCCTGCAGCCCCCAGGGTGGCTCTGGCGGTGCCACTGCACTTCTGCCTCATTCCGGGCACTTCCAGGATCAGAGCACTCGAAGGTCGGACTTAACCTGCACACAGGCAGCTCTAACACCCCGCAGGGCAACCGGCGCTCAGAAGCTTCTCAGACCACCACTTGGTAACTGAGAACTCAGTGAGCCTTGGACCCCACGTGAGTGACTCTTTCTGAACGACAGTTTATCTATGAAACAGAAGTCGGACTGTCCGGTCTGCAGGGACAGTGGGGAGGCATGACTAGCGCAGAACCCAGACCACTACCGTGTGAGACCCCATATGCCACCACAATTCCACCCACATGGCCTGGCTCTGACTTCCTGACATCCACATTTCAAGCAAAATAACCGAGTCATGAAGCCCAAATGTGGAGTCACTAGAAAATCCTACCATTAGCTGACCACCATGAACACTCCGACCACGTCTTGCCCACACCCACCACTGCCAGTTAGTAACGGCCTTGCCCGTGACACATCAGCGTGGCTGCTAGCTGCCTGCACTCTTTGTTGCAATGTCTACTTCCCTGGAGAGAAAAGAGAGCCGTTCATAAACACTTGGTTACCAGAGACCTCCTAAGCGGCTGGGCAGGGGCAGAAAGAGGGCTGTAAGTGAGCTGGTTACCAACGAGCGTCCTGAGAGTACCTTTTCAGGAAGCAGGAAAGTTACCGATCACGGCGTACAACGGCAACACACACTAGCAGCAGCAGTTATAAAAACTCAGCACTCACCAACTGAAATGCCTGGTTCCCCGTGTTAATTTTTAACATTCCCTTAAATTTAGAAGCTGAATGCCTAACACACGATTTCGCGTGTCATTCCCACAGCCGGTGTCTTATTTTCGGGAGTAAATCCTTTAGGAAGAAGGATGTATCCACAAATGTAGGTTACAACCTCCATTTGACTTCTAATTTTTGAATAAAAGTTTTTATCTGTTTTTTAAACTGAACAACGCAGGCTCCCCGTAACCATCTCCGTCATAAAGGCGCGTACTGTAGGGAGGACGAGGACGTGCCAAAGCTCCTCGCCCGCTTCAGACACATCTCCACCTCCCGGAGCTCCCCCGTCCACCGTCGGTCACTGGGCTGCCTTCCCAACTGCGGACACTTGTGAACACACACACAGTTTGGCTACAAGTGTGTCTTTCAGCGCGGAAAGAGCGCCCCCTGATGGTTCCCAGCTGTGGCACACTCTCTGCGGGGAGCACGCTGCCCCCGTCAGGGACCACTTCCCACCGTGTGGACACTGGGGCAGTTTCTCGTTCTGAGCTTCTACACACACTGCAGAGTGAACACCCTCAGCCTGTCTGATTCTGCGGGAGGATTTCTAGAAGGCGGACAACGGGCAGGGGCGCCCCCGCCACGCTGGCCGCGAACACCTCCCACGGACACCGACATAGTGTGCGGGCAGGTCTTCGAGCCCCGCCGAGGATGGGATGGAAGATCAGTCACTTCACCAGACCCAAACCAGAGAAGGCGCTCAGTCGCCGCTGGTGCCCTGCCTCCTGCGCATCTGCGTGTCCACTCTCCTACAAGGAGCCCGTCTACCCACTGGCTCGTCTCAGTGAGCGAAGAACAGGCGAGAAGGGAGATCTGGACTCCTTGCTGTCTGTGTCACCGATGTTCTCCCTTCTATGTCTCAGCTTTAAAGAACGTTTCTTTCACTGACAGAAGTGCTCTCACGTTTACACAACCTGCCTGTCAGTTCTGGTCTAGCTCCTCTCCGGGCCATGACATCTTGGAAGCGTGGATCCCCTCCGTCACAGGTGCAGGCTCGTTATCATCCTGCCTACAGGTAATCCCCTGAGGAATGAGGAGATTACGACCCTATGTTAACTTGCATAATTCTCTCCTCTAAGGGAAATCTGACTAAAATTGAAAAATTGCCACTGAACTTTCTTGGACGGCATAGGCTAGCTAACGCCCTACAATAAGGGCCAAGGTCATTCAGCAACTCTGGAGGAACTCGGCTCAGGATATCTTGCTACGTATGGCTCTAATTCTGTTGTCTGCCCGAGTACAACCACCATTAAAAGCGCTGTGTGAGTGCGACATAACTGTGGTGGTCACAGAACGAATCAGGTGCACCTGAGCACACTCAGAGCTCCCAGCAGAGCCTGTGGCTCACCTAGAACGGGTGTCTCTGTTGTGCACGTAAACATGTATATGCTGCTTACCGCGCACCAGTTTACAATCTAGAGAAGACATGCGGGCACATCCGTGTTCGTGACCGCACACCGCCAAGAAAGTGGTGCACTGCGCTGTAGAGACGTGTTCAATTTAGTAGACATTTCAAAAAAATCTAAATTAAAAAATGCTCATGTGCTCTTCTCCACATGTATTTTGGACTATAATCCACTAAAAATGTTTGACTTAAAGTACCATCTCCACTGGGCAGTACAGCTTTGCTTAGGTATCCAGGATAGAAGTTGTGTAATAAATGAACATGCTGGGACTGAGAACAGGGTAAGTAAATTATCGAGTCTAGTATCTCATTCTGTAAAATCAACATAAAATTGCTAAGCGCACCCTACTAGGATTTTATGAGAAGCGTTTTTCCCTTGTGCTCTAGTCAGACGCATGAAAACTTAATGCCTCTCGGTGCACAAGACGTGATATCAAGATGTTTATCCCTAAGCGGGGGGAGAGCCAATTGAAAACCAGCACAGAAAGGTGCTGAAGTTTCAAACATGGCAAGGCTGGCGTATTCAGTGCCCAATATCTCAATGTTATTTTTGTGTGGACAGACACACTGATTAGGAACATTTGGTAAATTAGGATAAAACTTGTTATTTACTAAAAAGGAGACAGGCAATACGTCACATTGAACACTTTCACAAAATACTATCTTCAGGGAAAGGAATTTTCCCAAAACATTTAAATAAAATTTGCAAGGTTCATACCCATGCTTGAAGCACAAGATGAAAAATCAGGAGTTCATGTCTGCACGAGTTTTAACTGACAGAAGCCTTTAGACCTTTCTAAAAGCAACTTCGTTACTACATTCCACACAAAGAAAGGTACTATAAATCGAAATATACACTATATTTTAGAAAAGAGTAGGTTTTACTGGTGTGATCATGGTGTCACACGGTTTTTACTCAATTAGGCGTGTCCCAGAAGCCACATGCTGACTGGCCTCGGGCTGTGGCTTCAGCTACTGTCTTCGGAGCACAGCACGAGACTAACTTTGAAACAAACGTTCTGGGGGTTCCTCTGCTTCACACGGCTCCCCACCGCGGCCCCCGACTGCTCCCTCCACCCGCTCCGTCAGCACAGGGCACCGGGCAGCTGGCAGGCCGGGCGTCCTGCGGCGTCTCTCCCGGGAGCTCGGACTCCGTCATCCGCTCTCCCGGCTCCTCCCAGGCTGTGTACACAGCACTCGGCCCCTCGGGACCACTTTCCTGGGAGGGCCCTGGTCACGGGGCCAGCGCTCCAAGGGACCCTCGGACTCCCTGCCCCAGAGCGGGCAGCTCCGTGGGCACCACTGTGGACCCGCCTCCGAGGCCGTAAAGTAGGCGACCTTCTGTGCGGATGGGGACGGTCAGAGTCCAGGTTCACACGGAAAGTCGGGCTCGCAGGCCAGCGAGCTGCAGCCATGGGAACAATGCGAACATTATGGCCGCCGCATGTGCCACACGGCTCCAGCCCCTTACACAGATGAAGTCATTTACCCTCCCAGACCATAAAAGAGAGGCGGCACTCCGTGTGTGTGACAGTGGGAGACCCGAGGCACAGGAAGGGCCAGCGGTTTACAGGTGGCCGCTCAGAGGACCTGCGATTTGAACATACAAACGGATACACTGCTAAAGCCCAGATTTTTCCTGCTACCGCGATGCTATTACCCTGCCGGGAACACTCTGTTTGATTATTTCAGAAATCCAAATCTTCCAAAATAGCCCTTCGCAGTGCCTTCCAAGAACCCCACACGTCACTTCTGAAGTGACACAGCCTTGCTTCTGGGACAAGGATTCATTCTAATCACTGATTTGACATCACGACTTAGAGCTAATTTTGTTCTGTGCACTAAGCTTTTGAGATCTATAAGAAAAAACAGATACTTTATTTTACATGAGTTACAAAGGATACCTGAAAACAGACAAACATCCAGAACATTGTCCCAAAAGTTTATGTACAAACACCGCCAGCACTGGACAGCACTCCAGTGTGTTGCCCGAACCCAGCAGCCTGAACCCAACAGTGCTTCCCTGTGGCTCTTCCAGTCAAACCCGGCTCACAGGCTGCGCCCTGCCCCGCTTCTCCCCAAAAGCAAGAACATAGACATACGGGGCTGAATTACTGTCTGGTCTTCAGAGTCGTCTGAAAGAAGGAGTAGAGGCTTTGGGGTGAGCTCACCTAACACGGGGCTGCTCAAGCAGAAGCAGGACCTCACCTTTCTGGGGTCTGATGATAAAAGACTGTGTGGCCCCGTTCACCAGCCGGCAGTACCCGTCTATCAAGTCCGCCATATTCTCAGCGATGGTTAGGGACGGCGCCGTCACCGTCAGAGGCTGAAAGGGGAGAAGACCAAGAAGAGGCGTTATTGTTCTCTGCAATCATCAAAGGGGCAGCTGCACTGTGACATCAGAGCTCTAGACACACGTGGAGACAGAAGAGTGACAGCGACACAGATTTGTCATAAGGTTGGTGTGAAAAAGGAAGTTTGATATTTAAGGACGTTATTCCTAGAATATGTGACAGAAGGCGGCCCAGACAAAAACAGAAAAATCACTTAAAACTGAGATTCATTTTCTAGAACTAAAGGAGGCAAAAAAAAAAAATTATTTCCCATGGAGTACATTTTTATCAATTATCCATCATCATTTTTCTAGCATTAAAGAAAATTACTAAAATCTCATTATTTTTAGCATGCACAGCATGTTTTGCCTAAGAGGCCAGAAATCACTGTTTTCACTATCAGACCTGCAGTTCTGATAAACTGCCTTAACCTGACCACTAGCGATTACCCGGGAGATGATCAGAGCTGTTCCTTCCTGCCCGACACAGGGATGCCCTAGTCCGAGCGGTACCCCGCCCCCCCGGCCTCGGACATGCTTGCCCGGCGCCCGGCTCCGTGTTCGGAGCTCTGGCCACGGTGGGGCAGAACAAGAACGTTACGGAGATGCTGCCGGGACATTTCAGCTGGCAACAGTGTCCGTAGTTCAGGGTTTCCTTTATTCACCTCGGAGAGTCAAAAATGCACTTCCTAGAGCCTCAGAAATGTCACGGCTCCCAAGGCAGAAAGAACAAGTGACAGATAAACCCATCTGAGGACAGGCTGCCGCCGCCCAAAGACCACGGGTGATGTGCGGCACAATGAGAGGTCCGAACGCGTGCTGTGCCACCTCCTGGTCGTTCCGACTCCTCAACGCAGAAGCGTCCTCTGCCTGTCGACCAGAGGGTCCCCTGATGCACACTGGCCAGGTGACGCCCTATCTGGACCGGGCCACACTGCCTGGGGATTAAAAGCGCGGGCCCCAGGAGGCTCCCCATCTCCACCACTTGGGCAGGGCCTCCTTGGCTGTACACTGGGGACAAAGGACCTCAAAGAACTTCTTTTGCTGGTTCTGAGAATGACCCATGTCACTCCTGGCTCCTGCGCTGAGCGTCAAAGCGGCGGGGGACCCAGCAGGCAGGAGCTGCTGGCCGGTGGCCCGGCCCGGCAGGCACAGCAGTCTGGGAACGCCGCCGCTGACCCAGGCTACCCGCGTGTTCGCACGGTCCTAAGAGGCTGATGACCGTGGCGGTCCACAGGACTCTTCGACCGCCCTGATGACAACACGCCTGGCCGACTCTTCCGTCTGTCACCTGCTCTACTCTGGGGACATGCACTCGCTACCGGAGACAGAGCAGGAGCACGTGCGAGGAAGCCGGGACTGCGAGCACGTGGAAGCCGCGTCCTTACCTCGGGCGCGCCGGCGATTTTCAGCTGCAGTGTCCCCTTCCTGTCCTTGTCTTCGCTGTTCGAGTACTGAATGGTCTGCACTTGATTGAAGTCAGCCAGATGTGTGGGCTTGGGAGAGAAAAGGCAAACCTCTTGGGACCCCAGATAAGGACTGTCCGGTACTGTGTGACCCTCTCGCGGCGCCCACCCCGCCGCACTCTCCCGAGGGCCTCCTCCCAGTGACCGCATCCATCAGCCCCAGCGGGGTATTCGCCTCCTTCGGAGCAGTCCCGGGACAGCCAGGAACCGTCTGCTCGCTTCCGGTGAGGGACAGGCCTGCTGTCTGCTGCTAATGACCAAGCAGAAGCACTGGCTGTCAGAGCCGGCCGGGTGAGTCCCAGGCCCCAGGGAAGGAAGGAACGGAACCAAGTCCCGGACGTGCTGGCTTGCTGGCCTTGGGGGGAGCGGCGTGTGGGTCATGTCCCCTTCCCACCAGGAGGAACCTGGGCGCACTCCCAGCGTACCCTGAACTAGAGCACATCTCTGAGTGTAATGGCGCCACAGGGGTGGCAGGTGTCCAAAGGACCCTTCCCAGAAACGCATGCCAACAGAGACTTTGTTTCTCCAAAAAAAAAATAAAATGCCCATTTGTCCCTTAACCTCACAGCAGCTCATGACAACGGTTTGCTGTGATGATTCCCATACATTTATTCACAGCAATTACCCTGATCATAGCCTCCTTCTCTCTCAGTGCCATGAGGCGGGGCCTCTCCCACCAAGTGCTCTACTCAGCCCAGATTCTGCCACTGGGACCGAGCTGGAACTACAGTTCAGAATGTGGCTCAGTCATTTAAGCGTCTGCCTTCGGCTTGGGTCATGATCCCAGGGTCCTGGGACAGATCCCCGCATCATGCTCCCAGCCCGCAGGAAGCCTGCTTCTCCCTCTCCCACTCCCATGCTTGTGTTCCCTCTCTCGCTGTGTCTCTCTCTGTCAAATAAATGGATAAAATCTTAAAAAAAGAAGTGGCTCATAGGGGTGCCTGGGTGGCTCAGTTGGTGAAGCACCTGTCTTCAGCTCAGGTCACAATCCCAGGGTCCCAGGACTGAGCCCCATGTAGGGCTCCCTGCTTGGTGGGGGGTCTGCTTCTCCCTCCGTCCCTCCCCCTGGCTTGTGCACGCACTCTCTCTCAAATAAATAAATATCTTTAAAAGAGAGAGAGAGAAAGCTTCCGTTCACAACAGAACACCTTCACAGCTTTGCTTTCAGGCACAGGTGTGCTCTGTGAGGCCTTCAGACAGGCCAGGGCAGGCCTCCAGTTTCCCATTCTAAGACATCCAAGCAGCAGGCAGCTCAGCCCCTGTGCCTACTCCCCTCTCTCCACCTCTGTGCCATCTGCCCGCGCGGGGTTCCCTCCTCCTTCCCTGACTGTCTTCCACAGTTCCTTTGGCTTCTCCTCTACTCCATGGCTAAATCATCAAGGGCCACAGGACTCTGTGCTGGGCCCATCCTTCCGTGGCAGCCCAGCCCCGTGGTGCAAGTAGCATCCCCAGCCCCGAACCGGGACATGTATCCAACCGCCAGTGTGACACCCCCACGTGGACATCGGGGCCAGACTGCGAACAGCACAGTCACGGGATCGGCTCTCAACACCGGCTCCCTCTCCGGCCTCCCCAGCACAGCAACAAGCATCACCATTCAACCCTGTTCCTGTGCCAAGAGACTGTGGCATCCCCACCGGCTCCTTCCTTTCCTCCCCCACCCAGCCAGCTCCACACCCGGAGTCTGCGGTTTTCCTTCCACTTTCCCAGCTGTCACTCTGGTGCCATCGATCCTGCAGCTGTCACCCTGGATCCGTGCCTGGCCCCCTCACAGACCGCCCCTACCTGGAAGCCAGGGATGCGCCTCACAGTGTAAGTCCGGTCTGACAGCCCCTGCTTCAACAGGCACGACGCCCGCAAGAGGAGGCAAGTGCCCACCAGGCGTGCCCTCCGCCTGCCTCCAGACCTAACTCCCCATCATGAGCTCGCCTTGATCAGACGCGCTCTAGTCTTCCCAGGGCGCCATCGTGCCCCCAGATGGCTGTTTCTGGTTGGCTGAAGAATGAGGGAGGCTGATGTGGACCATGGCCGTGAGACATGATATAACGCACAGAAAATCCCCTCACAACGAAAACTGCCCTATGTCCTGAACAGCTTTCCAAGATCCTGGTGTGTATTCACGTTGGTGAGAAATCAGATTCTAGAACCCGAGTCTTTTTAAAAACACAACATATGCTCTGCACTCAACTTTCCAGGAGCACAACTTGGGTGTAATTTAGGTATAATTAATGATTTTGCTATCTCTGGAATGTTAGGATGAGTTGCTCACCATTTAGGAAAATGACACTACGGGGGGCAATGATTGTTTGGTATCCGAGCTGCCGACCCCATAAGCACACACATCTGTAACAGAGATGAGGCTCCTTCTAACCAGGAATCGACCGCTATTAGGCTGGTGAAGACTGAAATGATGGAAGTCTCAACTAGTTTCACTAAATGATTATGTTAAAATATTTTATTGTCATCTTATAATTAAAAAAAATTTTTTTCCAAAGCACAGTGAGAAATTCATCAAGGAAATTATTATATTCCTTTTTTTTTTTAAAACCTACAGTGTTTCTGCCTCACTCTGACACGCCCCCCGAGGCTGGTCACCTGGAAGCCCTTGTCACTTTCCGACACCACGTGTAAGGGAGGACCAGCAGTGGCCCCCTCGGATGAGCGTGCTCGGTACTCAGCTCTGTCCCTCCTCTAACGGCTGCCAGTCTCTGAGCTAAAACAGATGTTTTGGAATTATATGTTCACAGCATATTCTGTGATTTTATTTCAAGTTACCAAAAGGCTCTTAAAAAATACCTGTTATGGGGCACCTGGGTGGTTCAGTGTTTAAGCCTCTGCCTTTGGCTCAGGTCATGGTCTCAGGGTCCTGGGATAGAGCCCCACAACGGGCTCTCTGCTCGGTGGGGAGCCTGCTTCCCCATCTCTCTCTTCCTGCCTCTCTGTCTACTTGTGAGCTCTCTCTCTTTCTGTCAAATAAATAAATAGATAAAATCTTAAAAAAAAAAAATCTGTTATAGAGGTGTCTGGGTGGTTCAGTCATTAAGCATCTGCCTTCAGCTCAGGTCATGATCCTTGGGGTCCTGGGATCAAGCCCATCGGGCTCTCCACTCGGCGGGAAGCCTGCTTCTCCCTCTCCCACTGCCCCTGCTTGTGTTCCCTCTCTCTCTCTGCGTCTCTCTGTCAAATAAATAAATAAAATCTTTTTAAAAAAATCTGTTACAAAGAAGACAGGGTTGGGAGGGAAGCACAGTGACCAGCCCTCCGAGCGGTACAGTAGACACTCCCCACCCGGCTGGGGCCCTCTCTCGCGATCATGGTATTTCTGCTGCCTGTGTTCTTTCTTCTATCGGCTCTCACAGACAGACTGACAGTGCCATGAGGGGAGCTCGTTGGGGACCCCCATCTCAGCCACCCCTTATCGCCAGGAAGGAGGGCCGCGCCTGGGACGTGAGGGAATGAACGGGTGACTCTGAGAACTCCGAGGCGCAGGGCTCTGTTCTAAGTACCAGGAAGAGAGCAGCGAACCGGGGCAGCGCGAGCCCAGACATCAACAGTCATGCAGGAGGCATGGCATCGCGACTGTGGTAAGGACCACCGCAAAGACCCGAGGGTACTGCCTAAAACTCACCCTGCTTTGTTTGGGGAGGGGCGGGAGGAAGTGATGAGGCCTCAGAGCAAGTCTCGCTGAGAAGGAGAGCGGGCCCGGGGCCCCAGGAAGCCAGGACCGCGCAGATTTCCCTCTGCGCTGGGCCCTGGCTGCCGGCTCACCGCCCAGCACCAGGCAGCTGCACACGCGTGCGACCTGGCCAACGTGACACCCCGGACGAGACAAGCAAGTCATCCTGACGACCCGGAGAGAGGGCAAGTGTGTGCAAGGAGGCCGCAGAGCAGGGCCGTCTGGTCCAGTAGTGGGAAGCCGCGTGCGGCCGCTGAGGCCAGTCTGCACTGAGCTGCGACAGAGCGCAGGACTAACGCCACTTGCAAAGACTCACGGTGATACGGGACATGAAAGACCTCCACAGCCTCTACATGGATGATGCCCTAAAATGACGGTAACTGGGATGGACTGGGACCCATAAGATACGTCACTGAAATTCATTTTTACCTTCCGAACTGGGGTGCTAGACCACTGAAAAGTCCAAGACAGCTTGGGCCTGTACTGGGCCGTGCTGGCGAGGGGGGACCCGAAGTCAGGGGAAGTCGATAAGGACTCGGAAGTACTGAGGGGGCTCCAATGGGCCCCCGGTGGAGGCTGGGCAGGCTCTGGGGCGCCAGCGGGGGCCACAGAGAGCACGGGAGGAACCCAGGCGGCGCACTCAGAGCAGCCTTGCTCACCAGGGGCTCAGCGCACGGGCCAAGGACGTTTGCAATAGAGCAAAGAGGAAACATGTGGGCTGCCTGGCAGGGACAGGGAAAGGAATACAGGTTTGAGGGAGGACATTTTTAGGCTGAGAGAGATTACACATTTTTCTATGCTAACAAGAATGGCCAGTAGATTGGAAGCATTTCCTGGTGCAGGAAAGAGAGCAGAGACGGGGTCGCTCCGCAGCCAGGAGCGGTCTTACCGGAAGCATGACGCTCACCCCAGAAGGCCCGGCCCAGGAGGGCGGGTGTGGCAGGCAGAAATGCGGGCAGGACAGATCGTACAGGCACTTCTGGGGCTCTATCCTGACCACCCATCCCAGTTTCCGTCTACTTTACACAACCAGCAACTTTCACTTCAGAGGACAGAGATCCTCATAGTCTCCAAGAGAAAACAGACATTTTTTTTCCCATGGAAATTGATTAAAAACCACCAGGTGCTTGGCCATAAAGGCAGGAACACATTCACTAGAATTAACACGTGAAAAACCTGCCTCTGCTCACCGGCCAGGAACGGGAGGAATGGTAACAGTAAGACCCAAACCCTCAGAGCAGCCTGAAATGTCACATGCCCCTAGATAATGCTACGAGGAAAGAGAAGCTGTGCGGAAATACGACGGAAGGAGAACACACCCACCGACACTGACAAGACATGAAAGGTTGTTCGAGAAAATGGCCTCCAGAGCAACTGGGAATACACTGGAAAGAAACACCCAAAGGGAACAGCAGGAGGAAGGCTAAAGTCAAGCGAACGAGATGGAAACGGGGTCTGCCGAGATCAGTGCCGACACGGAGGGAAAGGGACGGCAATGCCATGACCCTGATTTCCGTGCCTGCCCACTAAGAGCCGCTGCGACACAGCCACCGCCCGCACAGCTGCGAGAGCCAAATCCCCCAGGCGCGCGGCGGCCCAAGACCAGGCGCAGGACTGAAGTCACCGGAGAGATGACGAGAGAACCCCGCAAGACACTGCTCCCTGGTAACAACCTGAAAACGTGGGAGGCAGGGGACACGCTAACGGAACGCGAGTTACAACAGGCGACAGGAAGTGGAACCCCAAACCGCTGTGCTGCTGTGGGAGGCATGGGAGGGGTGCGGGCATGATCTAATTCATTACTTAACTGTCCGACCAATCTATTAGGTGGCTGAAATGATTACGGCCATTTTACTACTGAGGAAACACGAGCCAGTGGCGGCGGGACGGAGCCCAAGTCACAAGGCCAGCATGAGAGTGAGTCAAGGTGGAAACCGTGGCTGCGTCCTTCAGAGTCAGCCTCCCTTGCCCACATTCAGGGTCCCATTGTGACCTCACCAGAGAACTCGAGGTGGAATCCAGGGTGGGTTAAAGGCTCACGTGTAAAACGGACAGAGACAACCCTGCAAGAAAACCCAGGAGACCACAAATCGCACCTAAAGGCTGGGACGCTGACAATCTGTAAGCAGTGAACGCACGTAAGGCCACGGGCTGTCCCGCAGAGCTCACACCGACAGCCGCCCTTGCCACCGGCGCAGGGTGGCTCTGGCTGGGCCACCCTCTCGTCCACACTTGGCATTACAGCTCTCTCTCATTTCAGCCATCCTAGCAGACACGCAAGAGCGCCACGCTGCGCATCACCCCGGGGCTCCCAGGCGCAACACCTTCTCATCTACCTCCAGACGACGTGGGTACCCTCTTGGGTCATCTGCCCTTCACTTAGCGATTTACTGCCAAGCTTCGCCCCGCTTAGAAGTCTACTGTCAAACGTATTCATGCAACTATCTGCCTTGCCTTTCTCCTACCTTTCGATGAGAAGTTCTTAATTTCAACGTACTCTAATTTATCAAAAATTGTCTTTTAGAGTTAGCTCTTTGTAAATGCTGCTTAAGAAATCTCTTCCTACTCCAAATTCACATAGATATTCCCCTGTGTTTTCTTCTCTGACTTGTGTCACTTGTCTTCCACGTGTAGGTCAACCCTCCAGGTGGAATGGGCTGTCACGGTGTGTGACGAGGGTCAGAATGCCCTGCTTTTTCGCTGCGAACATCTGGCGGGCGCTGCGGCATGTACGAAGAGCTCATCGGTGATGCAGAACCCAGGACAGCGTCCCCTCTCCGGCGGGGGGCCAGAGACTGGGAAGGGGCGGGACTCATCCCCGTCTGTGCTCGGGTCCAGCGTGAGGACGGTCAGCGCACAGGCAGCCCCGAGACGTCCCCAAAGCAGACTTACGTTGCAGCCCTTGTCCGTGAGGTAACTGATGCCTTCTTCGGGGCCAATTGCCAATTCCACTGAGATAATCCAGCTTGACTTTTGAAGGGTGAAACAGGTGACGACAAAGTTCCCAGAAGAGAAAAGAAATATTTTAGATGAAAGCACGAACACGTTCAAGGAGCAAGGTGGGGGTGGAGGCGGGGGGCTGGCCTTCCCTCTACCTAGCTGAGCACGACAGAACACCTGTGACTTCACTGACCCAGGGTCCGGTGGGTCTGAAGCCAATAGGCTCTTTGGAAAGGCTCTCTGGACAGTTAAATTAGCCCAGAGAGAACAGTTAATTAACATATCACTGAGCTGGAATAAAGAAATCTAATCATCAACACAGGCATGCTTCTAAAGCAAGGTGACTTCCTCCTCGCATTGATACATTTGCTTGTTTGCATTTTTCCCCACCGGAAAATGACGAATATTTTCATGTTAAATATGTGACAGTCAGATTTCAATCAGAAATTCAGATGTCCATGGACAAGAGAAAGCAAAAGAAACGAAATCCAGGCCACCATTTCCCACGTCCTCATACTTACACCCAGAGCACACTTGAAGCATTCTTTATCGAATCTGTACACCGGGGAGAGGATCTCAAAGAATTTCAGAATACTTTCTTCTCTGTTAAGGTTGGCAAACTGTCTAAACGTCTGTTGGATCAGCTTCCGTAGCGTTTTGGCCTGCACGATAAAATCACGAAAGTCATTTTAGAGTCAGCGACACACAGCAGCAACAGCAAATGCTCAAGATACCACCTCCCTCCCACCACTCGCTCCCACCTCTGTTCACATCACTGTGAAACGCCACATCCCTTTTTAAGCAGCTGTAATAAAATGCACACAGTGTAAGATACAGCATCCTAACCAAAGTACATAGTTCAGTGATTCCAAGCATTACTTTTTTTTTTAAAGATTTTATTTATTTATTTGACAGAGAGAGATCACAAGTAGGCAGAGAGGCAGGCAGAGAGAGAGGGGGAAGCAGGCTCCCTGCTGAGCAGAGAGCCTGATGTGGGGCTCGATCCCAGGACCCTGAGACCATGACCTGAGCTGAAGGCAGAGGCTTAACCTACTGAGCCACCCCGAGCCCCTCCAAGTATTACTTCTTAAACAGAAATGTATAAGGCAATAATTTGCTTATTAGAACATGCTGTAAAAGGTCAGGCATTAAAAAACACATACTATCTTTAAAAATTAAACATAAAAAATAAAATAAAAAACACGTCCTATCTATGCACATGATGGAGAGCTGGCAAAACCTAGCTGGGAGGGTACTCACATACCCACTGTTAGGAGGTAAGTAGATACAATCTTCTTGAAGGGCAATTTGGCAGCACAAATCAAAACACCTTAAAGAAAAACTACTTTGGATCCGGAAATAAAATTCCAAGACATTAGTCTTTAGAAATGATTGGAGAACCCCGCAAGGAATCAGTGACAAGGAGGTTCGGTGCAGAAGGATTTACAACAGCGGTGGGTTACACACATCATAATTTGCCTACGTTGTACGCAGCCCTCAAGATCGTCGTGCGGAAATAATTCACTGACATGAAAATCCCTATCACGGTGTCGAGTGAAACAGTCTGTACGTGCAGTCCAGACGCCTTTAAAAGGAGAGCACCGCTGATGGGGCTGACGAAGGTACGTGTGAGCTCAGGTGCACACGTATCCACACACAGAAAAGGAGACAGAACAACTAAGCCCTTTCTCCGTGTGGCGGGACGAGAGATCTTCCAGAGCTCTGGTGCACGCCGGAGTGTTCTGCTTCTGCACCGTGAGCATCTGGGTGGTGGAGGTAAGGGCCCTCCAGGCAGCCCGGGGAGGGCAGCGGGCAGAGGATGCATGACACGGTCCGAGGAAGAGGGCTGGGGGAAGCCACAGGAAGCACCCGGCTTTCACCCCAGGAAGAGACAGAGTCCTTGGGTGCCTTGGGCAGCATCACGAGAGCTGACACACCGGCTGCCGCACCGTGAACGGTACAAAGGACACCGGGGGGACCGAGCAGGTGGCAGCGCAGTACTTGAGAAGAGGTGAGCAGAGTCTGTGCACGTACAGAAGCAGAAAGGGGTGAGAAGCAGATTTACTCTGAAAAACAGAACCAACACGATGTCCTGAAAGGCGGGAATTCCCATGAACTGAAATGGTGAGCCCGTGGGGAACAGGCCGGCCGGTGAAGGTCCTGGCGGAGACCCGGGGCCCGGCTGGGAGCTCAGGCAGGAATCCGAGCCAGCGGACGGGAGGAGACTGGGGTGGCGGGCGGAGAGGAGGTGAAGGGCCTCATCCCACCCAGCATGCTCATCGGAGCAGGTCGGGGGCTGTGGCTGCTCCTGCGGCTAGGAGGTGGCCCGCCAGGGAGCGGCACACAGAGGAGACAGCCCACTGCAGTGGCGTGAAGGCCACCGTGGGGTCAGGGATCACTGGATGTGGGACACTGCAGAGAGTGAGCTGACAGCTGGGCGCCGTAGCCAAAGAGCAGGATGGAGAGCCGGCGGCCGGCAGTCAGGGGGATGAAGACCACAGGGCAAGCGGCCGGGGCGGGCAGAGGACCGGGTTCAAGAGCTGAGGGAGCAGGTGCGGCAACATGACCTATGGCACGTGACCTTCCATTCTAAAGGCTTGCGCTGCTCTTGCCCAGCGGGTGTGGAGGAGGCTATGAGAAGCAAAAAGAACAGCCACGTTCCTAGAATAGGCCACCCAAGAAACACCAGCGGCACAGACTCAGAGCTGATGGCAGAAGAGAGAGCTGGGGACCTTTGGGACACTCGGATGACTGTATGCGGATGGCAGGAAAACAGGCACCTGGGCAGGACGAGGGACGAGGTTTCTGGATGGAACGGAGGGCAAACAGAAGGGGCTTGGTGAAAAGAGAGTCCCACCAATTCTGGACGTGGGCACGATCCTTACGTCTTTGGACCTGAACGCTCAGGCAGATGGGGCCACACAGCTCTGGAGCCCAGCAGAGGGCAGGGCCACAGCTGAAGGGGTCACAGATGGCTCCCTCCAACCAGGTGGGGGCGGGAAAGAAGCGCCGCAGCCGGGCCGGCTGGACAGGGCGGGGCTGCAGGCGTTCTGCTGAGGACTAAGGACAGCTGTAGACCACGCGGTCAAGACTGAAGAGAAGGGAAACGGGCTCAAGGTCAGCAAGGCTTCGCGAGCAGACCTTCACACAGAAAATGAACGTTTAGCCTTGGAGGCTCAGAACAAAAAGCCTGGGAAACATATTTGGGGAATGCCCATCTAAGCACTGGCCACGAGTCAAGGGGCTGAAGAGGCCACTTGTATCACAGGCTGGGATGGCACGTAACAGCTGTTCTGACTCTGGGCTCTGCAAACATCCCTGTGGCCTGGGAGGTCCAGCTGTCTGCCAGGAGCGCGCAGACCGGCCGTGGAGACCCGAGCAAGAGCACAACCCCAGCCTAACAACGCTGAAACAGACAACACGGAAGTAAAATCTGGTCTGTCCCTTAAGCGAGGGCACATCACTCACTAGCATGTCAGCGGGAAGACAGCTCTGACTGCTCTGAGTTCGATGGCCTGAGGCAGGACATAGTGCTGCTGAGTGCTCACATGCCCACTGAAGGAGAAAACCAGAGCAGAGAAAGCCCCAGAAGGCCCCCAACTCTTCCTACAAGAGCAGGACACCATAGCCTAGAATATGGTAGCAGCTGCAAAGAACGGCTGCCCAAGGAGCATGGGGACCAGAACACAGTGACAAATCATTTTTATTAATGTTGATAAAATGTCGATGTGGTCACTCGCACCTCTAAGAACGTTCACTCAGAGCAGATGAGTAATGATGCGCAGCGACTAAACCCGGTGAAAGAGGTCCAGAAAGGAAGCCAGCTCTCTGCCTTCTAGCCGATTCCCAACCAGCCACCTGTTTAGGAACAACCGACAGCACTCCACGCTTACACCTGCTCATTGTGCAATGTGTTCAGAATGTGTCACCCGGAAGAGGTTTCTCTCCCAAGTGGGAGAGACAGAGGTCTCTCCTTAAAGCCGAGCAGTTGAAGGCGTGTCCAGAGTGTCAGACATCCCCCCCAGCCGCCCACCTGAGGTTTCCACAGGACCCCCCACACATCCAAGAGCTGACGGGCCACGAAGAGAACCTGGGATCGCCCTCCGGGCTCAGCACCCCCATCTCGGCCGACCTCCGGATGCTTAAGGTAGAAGCCAGGTAGCAGTCCCGACCCCCCTTTTCCCTACCCCCTCAACCCCGGGACACCCCCACGTGCTGCAAGTGCTTTCACAAGAAGCACACGGTGTTCCCTAACGCTTTCCACCATGCCAGCCCCACTCTTGCGTGAAGCTCTGCGACAGGCTCCCAAAATACCATCTACTTTCTGGACACAGCGTGGCCAGGGGCTCTTTCTAAAACCCGAGCTGGACTGCCTCACCCTGCAGCTCCAGCCCCTGGGAGCTCAGCAGACGGAATCATGTCGCTGGGCCAGAACTGTGCCTAAGCTCCCTCGGGGCCACAGGGGCCAGGAGGAAGGGCGCGGTGGACAAGCAGGTCCAGCCCCAGAGAGTGGCGGCCACGTCAGGGGCCGTGTCATCATGGGGCACTGCGGGAGGCTCAGGGAGGTCACGGCTGCTCTCTCATCTCCAGACGCCCTCCACTTCTGCAGCAGCCTCACAGAGAGAAGTTCTACCCCCCCGGCTCACAAATGATGAAACGGAGGCACAGAGATGACCGAGACCCCGAATCTCAGAGCTGCATGGCAGAGCCAGGATCGAAGCCCGAGCAGCCTGGTGCCAGGGTCTGCGGTCCCGATGAGAATGTCGCTCCCCCTCCCAGGGGCCGTCAGCTGGGGGCTGAAGCTGGCCGAGTGACCGGGACTTCAGGGGTGCGGGCCCAAGGACAGGGCTCTGGGCGGGCCCTGCGGCCACCCCGGTATGTCAATGAGGCCCGGTTAGGGCAGGAGCCGGGTGGCATACACTGGGTGCCTAACGAGTATCTTGAAGGGATGGGCAGGTCAAGAACAAAGGAAGGACACTGTCCCATCCCATTGCGCGCCCCCTTCTGTGTAGCACCAAGAACTGCAGGCAGAAGTTCTGGTGGAAGAGAGACGCGAGATGATGAGGGAGGGGCCCGGTGTGCTCAGGAGCCTGCAGGGGCTCGGTTCTCAGTACAGCAAAGCCAATGTCGGCGGTGCGCAGACCGCCTGTTTTCCAGCCTTTTTTTTTTTTTTTTAACATTACAAAGCTGGTTATAAAAAAAAATAAACTCGCACGTGACAGGTGAGTATGGACATGTGTGTCAAAATAAAACGTGGTACCTCCTAGTCCCCGTGGCTGCCCACTGTCTCGCTGATCCTGTGACACGACTGCGCCCCACCCTGCTTCCCCCTGAGTGTCCCGTCCCTCTACCAGCGGCCAGCAGCGGGACCACGTGGGGCGCAGGGTGGCAACACGAGGCCAGGCCCTGCTGCTCCTCTCTCCTCCCATGTCAGGCTTCACGCCCTCGGTGCTCTCTGTGCACAGGACTTTCCCACCCGCTCGCAAGGCTGTGTCCCGAGGATCAAGGAACACCAGAGTGCGTGACCAGCCCCCACTGCTGCTCCATCCCCTGCGCTCAGCATTGACGTGCTGGGAATTTCTGGGAATTTCAGAGCCGCCGGGACAGCACTGAAAGTGGCAACTACGAATGACTGTCAGCATGGAGGGTGTGAGGCGAACCCCATGTGGGCCCCCCGCCGCCGACCCTGCGGACACACGCCAGCCTCTGCAGGCTGCTCCTGCATGCCAGCCGGGCACGCGGGCCCGGCCCTGTGCTGAGAAGCAGAAGTCTCAGGGAGGACAGCGGCCCCAGGATCCGCTCAGGACTAGTTTCCTGTGCTCACAGAAACGACCCTGGCTCCCGGCAACTACCACGGCCCCTGCTCAGAAGGGAGGACCCACACTTTCCCACAGCCTGGACTTCCACGTTGCCTAAAACTCCGGTGTCCAGAAAACCCTGCTGTCTGAGAGGAGCCCAGATGTGTTTTTCTGAGAAGGATCTTGAGGCCAGAACCGTTTCTTTCCTACTGTCTCAGCGAGGAAACGACTCCCAAGATCTAATGTCCTAGACTCTGCTGCCGTGACTCAGTGCGCTTCCAGGACCGGCCGGAGCAGGCAAGACTGTTGTGCGTCACGTTCGGTCCTGATTCATAGTGTCAGGTCTCACTTTGTGTTTGCCTGGATTTCCCACACAAGGTGTCTACCTGTGAAGGCTGTTCAACTTGAAATCGATCCTGCTACAGAGAAAAAGACCCAGAAAGTGATGTTTCTTCAGAGTGGAACAGTGTTACTAGCTTGGTCATCAGGAATTGCTACTTAGCCACTGTGAACAACAAAGTAATCTTATATTAGTTGCCTAATACTTATCAGATGCTGCTCGCAGCAGTGAACTTGTAGAGCTCCCCAGAAGTAAAGTTTATATAACATAATGTTAAAGAAAATTTGCAGTAAAAGAATGGGAATACAATAATTAAATTCTTTCACCCCCCTCCCCCCCATGCTAAACATAGATGTATTAATAGTGCATGCAAAGTACGTTTTAACTGAGATCTGACACGTAACATTGTATCAGTTTCGGGACCGTAACACAGCGATTCAGTATTTGCACACACTGTGAAATGAGCGCCCCAGCAAGTCTAGAGGCCATCCACCACCTCACATAGTTAGCTCTTCCATTTTCTGGTGACACAGCTTTTAAGACTGATTAAGCTATTTAAGAAGACAAACAGACTCTACGTGTTTTACAAAATTACATGAGAAAGCAGGTGGGAAGTGAGTTCTGCTGCGCTTCGGTGAGAATCACTCGATGACTCTGTATCTAAACTCTGGTCTCCCGCTTGCCACAAACTCAGCAGCGCCTGAACTTCTCAGAACGCCGCTGCTCTTTACTCAGTTCAGGGCAAGCTCGCTTGAGTTCCACACGGTCGGCACCTCCCGTTCTGCTCCGGTGGAAGACCCGGCGCCCAGGCCCAATCACCGCCTGTCCCCAGCCGCCCCAGCCCTGCCTGCTTCCAGCGTGTTCTCCGCGCTGCCGCCAGCTCAAGCCGACAGCCGCACAGGGAGCAGGCCTGCAGCCCACTGTGAGAGCCGCCCTCGCACCAGAGTCAGTGGCAGCGGCAGGACAGGGAGGACAATCATCGGGACAGATCCGAGGGACAGCCCACAAGGGGCCTGGAGGGACGAGTCTGGTCAGGGAAGGGGGCTCGTGTGCGGCGAGGCAGGGGCGGAGCAGCAAGCGTGCGGGGCTCTGGGAGCCGCTCTCCCGAGCAGGCCCTCCTTCCGCGGTGCCCCTCCTACACGGCTCCCCGCTAACTCGGCTCATCCTCCAGTCGCTCTGCAAGCTGTCCACTCGGTCATCTGAGTGAGGTGCACCGAACATCACCGAGTGCCAGGCACCAGGTCAAACACGGTGCTCGCGGTGGAGAACGCAGCAGGCGTCATCGGGACCCTCGGGGACCTTAAAACACGGTGGAGGCAGGCAGACAAAATGCAGACAGGGAAGTAACTGTGAATCCGAATTTGAGAAAGCAAAGATTAAGGGCCTGAGCAGAGTCCTGAGAGGAGGACGGTGCTCCAGCTGTGCTGGGGTGCTGAGGAAACTGCGAGGGCGTGGGGGAGCCCAGGGTGCTGGGGGAGGCTCAGGCCCGTCCCCTCGCAGACCTCCCCAGGTGCTGTGGGTCACTTGGGCTACACCTGCACCAACGTATCTGTGAGCCCTGGGTGGGGCCCCCTGTTTTGAGTATGGGCATTCTTGTTCAATGTAGAGCAATCTGCTTGGGCTCCCAAGAGACTGCAGGAACTGAGGCCACCTTGGGCTCACACCTGAGAGCAGCTCAGGTCCCGACAGAACACAGCTGTTTTCACATACTTTGCTGCTTTTAATTTCACACTGGCTAGTGCACTTTTCTGTTTGGTGAAATGTCGATGTGCTAAAGAACGGGGTCTTCTACTTGTGTGGCTGCCTCCTCCCCACCCCGCCTGCCAGCACACTGCAGACTCGGGCCCAGGGGCATCCCTTCCACTCGGGGGCTGTCTGCCTAGGCCTTCTCGGCACCACAGCAGGACTCTCCAGGTCAAAATGAGTCCCCTGTCCTCCCAGCCCACAACTAACAGCCCTCTGGAAGGACACATCTTGCCATTCGCACATAACTCTAAACATCCCAGATTTCTCCTCCAACCCCTCCCTCCACACCAAACTTCACTAACTTCACTTAAAGCTCTCTGTCCTCTGCCTCCCACCATGGGCCACCTCACTCAGGCCAATGGTCTGTGAACTTCCTGTCCCACCCACCACCGGGCCTGGCCTTGATCACCTGCTTGGAGGGCACTGCACGTCCGGTTCCCCACCGGCTCACTGCAGCCTCCGGGGAGTGGATCAGGAAACGTAAATGGGAATGAAACAGCAGGAGCAACACTGAAAACGGGGCCTGAAACATCACAGAAGAGCATACGTGTCCTCTGCTCTTCCTGACTATTCACCACATCTGCAGAGTAAAACACACGCTTCCAGACCTGCTTCCCATTTTTAGATCGCTGAGAAACTATGCGAGCAAGGCAGGCCCTTCCCACCTCCTCCGTGATACTCCAGCGAGCAGCACGCAGAGGCCTGCACACAGGCCCTTTGTCACAGACTGCGTTTGGTAAATTGTACCAACACTCGGACCCAGTAATGGGCAATGGGACACAGTGGACGACCCGTACGGAACCAGCAGCAGCAGCATGATGACCAAGAAACTCTTGCGGAGAAATGACTAATGCAGGGGCACCTGGGGGCGCAGACGGTGAAGCCTGTCTTTGGCTCAGGTCATGATTCCAGGGTCCTGGGATCGAACCCCAAGCTGGGCTGCCTGCTCAGAGGGACTCTGCTTGTCCCTCTCCCTCTGCCCCTCCCCCCACTTGTGCACTCTTTCTCTCTTGCAAATAAATAAAATCTTAAAAATAAATAAGTGATTAATGCAATAAAAACCGCTCGACTCGGCATTTCATCGTTGTAGGTTAAGAAGCTCAATCCTCCTCCTCTTCACGCCACGTAACCTTACTGAGTTTGGTGTTCATTGCTCTCAAACTTTGTATTTACAAATTCATTAATCCCTGTATGAAGCCCAAGTGTTAGAAAGTGGTTTCATCCCCACTTTACATGTGTGGAAACTAAAATACAGTAAAATTACATAACTTGGCCAAAACGCCATGCAGTTCACGGTGATGAAGTCAGAATTTTCACTGAGGCAGCACGGCCTCAGAGCAGGTCTTCCGGACCAACAGGCCGGCCGTCTTGCAACACTCACGTCGGCCTGCTCGGACGGCCTGCTCTGCGTCTGCTCCGGGACAGAACACCACCTCTGCGACAGAGTGCTAACAGCCACCATTCACATGTAAACCGCATTGGCACAGATGCCATGGCAGGTGACATACATACACTGATCTGTCAAATCGTCACCCCAACCCTACAAAATACAGTTTTCTTCATTGTGGAAATAAGAAACGGGCCCAAGACCATGAGGCTCATAAATGGCAAAGGTCCCATGAGCTAGACTCTATTCCGACCGAAGCCTACGCCCTCCCTCCACACTTGAACGTCTCGCCATGTGCTCTGGATTGGCAGGAAACCCTGCCTCAGGGCCCCAGGGCATCCCTCCCCTGCGGTTCCCTCTGCAGGGAGGGAGATGACACGATGCTCTGCAGAAGTCACTCATGAGGGGAGAAGAGAGATCTTCACAGCGCACTTACATGTTCTCACATGCGTGTGCAGACACACACGGCTACCGTATGCTGCTTCCTCACCTACGTGTCTCAACATTCCCGAGACCATAAAGACGTAGGTGACAAAGCCTACTGTGTGCGCAGCTTTCTTAGTCTTGCACTTAGCTGAGTGTCACACATGACAGCAAGTGAAACCGTGACTTTGTAGGACAGAGCTGTGTGTACGAAAGTCTACTTACTATTAACAGAGTATAAGAACCACCAGCCTTTTTACATTGTAACTTTTACACATAAGAGAGAAAACCATACACCACAGGGAAGTATTTACATAACGTGGCCATCTGAGTGCGATAAAGCAAATTCTAATTACCTTGACAGAATCCAGTAAACTCCTAGGAAAAAATCGCTTCAAACCAACATCTTTTCTGAAACATAAAAAGAAGCGTATTAACAAATAACACCACCAAATCAATTAATATAATGACATTGTTGCAAGAACACAAATGCAATTTAAATTATTTCTCCTTCCACGTATTATTCAGGAAGGAAGGAAGTCAAATAAGGCTCCACTTTGCCAGCACAGTCAGGGAAGGGGCGGGACAGACTCATCTTCTAGATATGAACAGAAAACATTAATACAAGTCGCCTTTAGTAGAACATCTTTTTCCTACTTAACCCTCACTGTTGAAACCGTTCCACAGTTGGGCCTCCTGGCAGATGGCAATGTCTGCGTAAACACTGCCTGAAGCTTTGCCTTATCAACACCAGTTCAAACTTGGTGACATCATAGTTGTGGACAAAGCAGACTGACGAGAGGAGGAAAAGGTGTGGGATAAACCATGGAAGCTTAAAAAAAGTTCCTTAAATTAATCCTAAAAGTTGACTATTTTCTTTAAGTAGTCTTTTTTTGACTAAGGGATTCATTCACCAAACCAAACTTTATCATCTCAGTTTCACATAAGAAGCAAAAAGCAAGAAGTTAGATCATTTGCCCAAAGTCAGAAAGCTGAGTGTGGGAAGGTTGGAAGTTCCAGTGATTTTCTTTAGATCAGGCTACAGGATTGAACCTTATGATCACGGGCCTCAAAACACTCGGCCAAGGGGCACCTGGGTGGCTCAGTGGGTTAAAGCCTCTGCCTTTGGCTCGGGTCATGGTCCCAGGGTCCTGGGATCGAGCCCCACATCGGGCTCTCTGCTCAGTGGGGAGCCTGCTTCCCTTCCTCTCTCTATCTGCCTGCCTCTCTGCCTACTTGTGATCTCTGTCTGTCAAATAAATAAATAAAAATAGGATCTTTAAAAAAAAAAAAACCAAAAAAACACTCGGCCAAGAAGACAGACCGGAAAGACCAGCTCATTCCTTTTCTGCTCCCTTTGGTCCCGAGTGTGCCAGGATTTTCGGTCACTAGATGGCCCTCGTGTGCCAGTAAAATTGAATAAGCCCCTGCAGCTGTGAGGCAATGTGGGGAGACCCGCGGAGGACAGAACAGAATCAAGGAGGAGAAAACTAAACACAGGTATCTCTTCGGAATTACATAAGGAAACTAAGCTGAATAGAAAATATTTTTAAAATACAAAAGGGATGACTTCCATACCCATGACCGTAAGTTAGCTGGCATTACAAACGAAACCACAGATATCACACAGAGTTTGAACGGTTGATCCCACATCCAAACATTTCAACCACGTATTCTATAATCTATCAGTCGGTGCTCCCTAAATCCAAAATTGGTCCCGGTTCCCACTCTTTTTCATTGCTATTATGTTCATGACACGCTTCTGAAATTCTTTAACTTCCAGGACATACCGTTTCCTGGTTCTACTGGTTTCATTGGTTCTACCTACCAGTGAATTCATACAACCCTGGTTTTCCATTTCTTTTTCTAACCACTTTGCTTTGTAACTTCCCTTCCTTCCCTTCCCAGACCAGCAGCATCTACTGGAGGAAGAAATGTTCCCCCAGGGCCTTCCCTTTCTGGCTGCCTCCTGCACAGGGACTTTGCCTTTAAGGGTTCGCCTTTAAGGTTGCCTTTAAGACGCTACGGGAAACCGCACAGTAAGGACGTAAAGAGAAAAAAGCCTAGATTTTCAGGCATTGTTCCTGAGCACCGTCTCCCCTCCTTTCCTTCCTGGGCAACCGTTCCATACTGAAAGCATTTTCCATACAGAGAGCTCTGGGCTGGAGTCTTCGCAGGGCCGCAGGACGCATCTGGCTCCCAGCAAACACCTATGAAGCCGAGGTTTTCTCTTTGTAAACCGGGAACACTAAATCCTGCCGCAAGCCGCGGCGCGGGATGAAGCCAGAGTGTTAAGTCCCTACAACGCTTTCCTCCAGAAATACCGTAGGTGCCCCTCCTGTCTGGTGAGAGTCCGGTCCACGTGATGGACTCCCTGCTGTCTGAGCAGAGGGAGGCGAGACTGTTTTCCACCATGAGCAGAATATACGGTGGGGCTGTGGGGAGGATAAAACCGGAAGAGCAGGAGGGAGGAAGGCCGGCAGGTGCCCAGGGAAGCGGTGGTGGGAGGGCAGGCAGCAGAGGAAGCGAGAAAGAAGAGATCAGATCTGTGGACACCAGGCCATGTGTGAGCGAGCGGACCCTGTGCACTGAGAGCGGAAGGCCGGGGGCGCGTTCTGTCTCAGGTGTGAGCACAAGCCACGTGTACACGGCCTCCTGGCGGGGATTCCGAGGAGGCAGTGGGCCGCCAGTCTCTGGATGGGGGGAGACCAGGGCAGGGGATGTTCTCTTCCCAACTGTGAGACCAGCGTCACCGTTAGTCAAACAGGTAATGCATCTACTCTTCACAGGTAATGCATCTACTCTTCTTAGAGCCAAGTGGAAAGCAAAGAATTTATCACACTCATTGCTGTCACAAATGGGGAAATTACAGATGGACCCAAAGGGATGTATGTTTCATGAAAAATGAGAGAGGGCACACTTCTTTGTGAAGATGAAGCCTCTTTCTAGGTGTTACTTTTATTTCCAAGATGAAGACAACTCCACTTAGGAAAAAGAAAAAAAAGCTAAGGTCAACAAACGCTACAGTTTCACTTTTCCAATTATTTTTGAGCAATGGATTTGTAACATTTGTCTGTGTGTTAGACCTCTTTTAAACGTGACACCTGGGGCACCTGGGTGGCTCAGCCAGATAAGCATCTGCCTTCCGTTCAGGTCATGATCTCAAGGTAAGGGTCCAGCCCCATCTAGGGCTCCCTGCTCAGTGGGGAGTCTGCTTCTCCCTCTCTCTCTGCCCCTCCCGCCTCCACTCGTGTTTTCGCTCGCTCGCTCTGTTCTCTCTCTCTAATAAGTTTTTAAAATATCTTTAAAAAATGTGGCAGCTGGCAAGTGAGAAACTAAACACAAGGCTGAAGTACACAAAATATCAGAAAAATTCAAGAACACATACCCGTTAATTTAATCAGGAAGCCAATCTACTTTGGGCTTCGTGGTGGAGGACACTGAGGGTCCCCGAGCAGCACCTCAGGCGCCGCGCTCAGTTTTAGGGAGACGACCAAATTTACACCCTCTGCTAGGACACCCAGCAGGGACAGGCAGCCTGTCCCAGTGTGACAGTGCTACCGGGTGACGGTGTGTCCTCTGATGTGCACCAGAAGAGCTTTTAGCTTCCTGTGCCGTCCAACTCACCTGAGCCCAGACTCTGCACACACGTGAGGTGAGTAAGACAATGCGTACTACCTGGAGGTCTTCAGAACCACCGGCCTTTATTACAAAGTAACCCACTCTGTACAAACAATTGTCAAGGGGTAGATCCCGAGTTCCTGTAAACGCACTGGAAGGAAACTAGCTACGTGAAATTCTTAGAATACTGCCAAACCCCAATTCCCAAACTCAAGCATTAGGCTGCTCGACTCCCATACGCACTCCGAGGAGACATGCACACCCACGCACAACCAACAGGACGTGACCATCGGGTCAGAGCCGTACTGTTCACTGCAGCGATCCTGGGAAGCTGTATGTGCTTAAGGCAGCTACACTCGATCGAAGAATCTAGCTCCCTGTGGTGGTGGCCAAATGTCAGGGGCGCTGCGGCTGCAGAGAGGGGAGCAGCTGCCACACGGGCCAGGGCAGAGAGGACGTTCCCGTCGCGGTGGGCCGCTGCACTGGGCGGCAGGCACCCTGACTCTCCAGGGCTCGGGGCCAGGCGCCTAGGGCTCCCCGGTGAGCGCAGGGGTGAGCGGGACGGACAGACGCTGGGCTCAGCTGCCCACCCGGCACACTGGGCACAGGACGACCACGCAGCATCCCAATCTCTGGGACAGAGCCCCACAGTTGGGAGGAGGGCGGCCCGGGACCACGTGGCAGCAGCAGGCAGCGGACCTTCCAGGACGGAGCTGGGAGTCACACCAGCAGCCTTCAGCCAGGACTGCCTGTCCCCAGGCAGTAGCGAGCTTCTGGGGACTACCCTTCCCGCTTTTCTCTCAGGGTTGGCAGAAAGGGTTTCTATCCTTTGGTCTCTAAACTTCAAATTATTCTGATGTGACGCTTCGAAGAAAGCAAGGCTGCCCTCATCTGCCTCCTCACACCAGGCCCCACGCTGGGTGACGGGGCAGGACACTCCCCACATGCCCCCTTTCCTCAGGGGAGACACGGAGTCAACAACCACTCCCAGAGGTGTTGTCAGACAACGGGGCTCCGGAACCCACACGGCTGCTCGTTGAGACTCGGGGTTTCTGAAGCTTGAAATGATTGCTGTGATCAACGGTAACCAGAGTCCTCTTTTTTTTTTTTTTTTTTTTTTAAGATTTTATTTATTTATTTGACAGACAGAGATCACAAGGAGGCAGAGAGGCAGGCAGAGAGAGAGGAGGAAGCAGGCCCCCCCACCGAGCAGAGAGCCTGATGTAGGGCTCGATCCCAGGACCCTGCGAACATGACCGGAGCTGAAGGCAGAGGCTTTAACCCACGGAGCCCCCCAGGGGCCCACCAGAGTCCTCTTAATTAACGTTTAATTTACCTCTGTCCTTCCCAGGAACTATCTGAACCACTGCTGACCAATGAGGACAGTGTTAAACTCCAAGCTCTGCCCCCCAGGCTCAAGGCTGACCCCGGCTCCCAGGCCTTGCCCCTAACAGCCCGCTCCCCATGAACAGCCGTCCCGGTAAGAAGACACGCTCCCATCCCCCGGCAGGCGGCACCGCTTGCCACCCGCAGCCTCTCCCCGACACCCAGGCTCTACCACACAGAGGACGAACGTTCCAGAGTGCCCTGGCTGCTGCCTGCAGACTCCCAGCCTGCGACCCTGCCCTGCACACATGCACCCAAGTCCACAGACCCCAACACAGCGGGCTTGGGAGACTGGAGTGTGGAGGAAGCTTCACAGTAAGTCAATTCTCAAGTCAGAGATGAATTTATTTCCCCTTTGGCACCACTTCTGAGAAGACCCCGGCCTTGTCTGCTGGCTCTGGGTG